ATCATTGCTCCACCTTGCCATTGCTCAAAAACTTGACTCATAATATGTTCACTATATATATATATATATATATATATATATATATATATATATATATATATATATATATATATATATATGCATCCCTGTTGAACTCCAAATTTTAATTTGAAGTTTTTCGAAACCACGTTATTAACCCTTACATTAGCAGTATTATTTACATATAGTCTTTGTAACAAATAGATTAGATGTTCTGGCGTACCCATTTCTCTAATATATACATTTTATCCCATTTTACGAAGGCCTTGGAATAGTAAACGAAGCATAAATATGTTTCATGTTAAACTCTCGAGATTTTTGAATAATTTGACAAATATTAAGAATATATTCTCTTGTTCCTCTACCTGGGACGAATCCGCATGGTTTTTAGAATGATTGAGGATTGAGAAATTCCAATAGACTGGTCAAATTCCATCGGACTGGTTGAAATCTACATTTGTGCCCCTTCCCAAGAAATATAATTCTAAGACGTGTAGTGAATATCGCCTTATAAGTTTAATGAGCCACACCCTTAAAGTATTTTTGCGTATTATCCATTCCAGAATACGAGCAAAATTAGAACACAGCATAAGTAAAACACAGTTCGGTTTTAGATGCGGTTTTGGAACTCGAGAACCCCTCTTTGCAATACAAGTTTTGATTCAAAAATGCCTGTATCAACAGAAAGATGTTTACGTCTGTTTTATCGACTATGAGAAAGCATTCGATACTATCAAACATGACAAACTCATAGAACTATTACGTCTTTCAGGACTTGACACTAAGGACATCCAGATTATAAAAAATCTATATTGGAATCAAACAGCTCACATGAAGAATGGACATATGGTGAGTGAAAACATAACCATTTCTAGAGGGGTAAGACAGGGCTGTATTCTTTCGCCACTGCTTTTCAACCTGTACACGGAACAAATATTTCTAGAGGCACTAGAAGAGTACAATGAGGGCATCAAGATTAATGGCGTACCAATAAGTAATTTTCGATATGCAGATGATACTATTATACTGGCCGATAACATCGAAGATTTACAGATGATGCTACATAGAGTTAATACAACTGGCAGACGATTTGGACTGAAGATCAATAGAAAGAAAACTAAATTTATGGTGATCAGTAAAAAAAAATTTCAACATATCGACCTGCATATTGAAGACGAACGTATTGAAAGAGTACACCGATTTAAATATCTGGGATATACAGTAAATGACAAGTGGGACCCAGAAGTAGAGATTAAGATCCGAATTGAAATAGCAAGATCCAAATTCATCAAAATGAGAAAGCTCTTAAGCAACCGCAACCTAAGCATTAACCTCCGATGGCGCGCCACGAAATGCTACGTACTCTCTACGCTACTTTACGGCGTAGAAGGGTGGACGTTAACAGCAGCAACTATAAAGAAGTTAGCGGCTCTAGAAATGTGGCTGTATCGACGCATACTGAGAATACCTTGGACAGACAGTGACCAACACAGAGGTATTAAGACGAATGGGTAAAGAGGTGGAATTGTTAACAACTGTTAAAAGAAGGAAAGTGTCATACCTGGGCCATGTGTTCCGTAATGATAAGTACAGTCTGCTACAGCTTATCGTGGAAGGCAAGATTGAAGGTAGAAGAGGTTTGGGCAGAAAGAAGAAATCCTGGCTGAGAAACTTGAGAGAATGGTTTCAAATACCAGAAGCTGCGAACATAATTCATGCGGCACAAAACAGAGAAACCTATCGTATGATGGTCGCCAACCTTCGGTAGAAGACGGCACATAAAGAAGAAGATTTGGCCACTTTCCGGTATTCCAGATCTCATTGCAAATTCTAATCATTAATTCCGTCCCTAATTCTTCCATTCCTTTGAGTGTTTCAGCTGATTTTTCTCTGTATTATTATCTGGATCGTTGTTAGACAATAGTATTTCGCCATATTGTTTCCACACCTCTGCGATATCGTCTGAGTTTGTTATGGCATTTCCACTATTACCTTTGATGATCTGTGTCTGCTGTTTGAATTCTCTCGCTAGATACTTGACTTTTGAGAAAAGTTCTCTAGATTCTTGGCGTTCAGCATGTTCCTCTAGCTGTACACATAATATGTTTTTAATATAATTATTTTTGTCCCTTCTGCACAAGTGTTTTATAGTTGTATTTATGGTGCATATCTATATGTCTTTTTGTATTGAATTTGATGTGCCGTTTCTAGGTTTTCGTCTTTCTTCTATAAGATTGAGAGTCTCTTCAGTTAAAAATGTTAATATTTAAAAGTGTTTAAAATAATTTTAATCCTTACTTTGAAATAGAGGTGTTTGTTGCTACTCAGTGAATCAAGTTCTTGTTTAAGCCGGGAATTTGTGCGTTCCCTTAAAAAATGTAATCCGTTATCATCGAACTAATGTCTTAATAATTACAATGTTTATTAATTGAATTATATAATTTAAGGGTCACCTGACCTCTGGCTAGTTACAAATTCTTTATAGACATTTTTCACTGATGATGATCCGATAGGATTGAAAACGTTCTGAAAATTTATAAATCAATAAAAATTAATAAGTTTTTTGAACCTATGGTATATAGCCAATCATTGGGAATTTCTCTTTTAAATTTTAATTTTAATCCGCTTTATTAATGTCGAAGTCGAAGTTTTATACTCCAATATCATGAACGTCATTAAAAAAGTCACTTTGTTTAGCTGTTCTTAAGAAAATATAAAATGATTTTAGCATCTAGTCTTTAGGATTTAGTCTTGTGGTACTAGCTTTAATATTTCTTTGAGATATTTCATTTTTTGTTTGAAATGGTTTACTTGTTGGCCATAACTGCTAATCCAACTCCATATCTTTGAATGATTTTTGTAGTCGACCTTTTTTTTCCTTTTTTTACATCTACTATCTGTAAGTTTTCTTCTGTTGTGTCTGGTTTCATATAGAGCAAGAAAGGCTTTTTCTTTAAAAATTTTATTTCATGAGTCTTGAGGGCAATTTCTCTTTCTCTGGGCCATCTTTGCTGTTTTTGAACATTCCAATAGTTTCTCAATTGAAACCATTTCTTCTCTTTTTATTTTGCATTTCTATTTTAAACAAATTGCTGATGTCTGACCGTTGCGGTGGTTTTGACTACAGGACCAAGTTTGTAACATGTGTATTAACATGATCTTTTATGTACTTTCTAAAACAGGATCCCACCTCTTGGGTTCCTCTTCTAGCTTCATGTTCAAGCCAAAAATTAAAAACTCATTTTTCTGTGCTACCAACGTGGATGCCAAGTTTGTACAAATTCAACTGCCCTTTTTAATATGGTATTTCAGTCGGCAACTTAGGAAGAGCATGGGTCTTTTGCAGATCAAATATTAAAGTTTCTAATTCAGGATTCTCTTTTGCAGATTTCAGATCCGTTCTTAATTTTTCCACTAAACTTTCTGCATTTTAAATATATTTGGAATGTTTTAATTTTAGATTATTTGTCGCTTCACCTCTTAAGGCCTTTATTTTTTCGTGATTGGAATGTGTCGCACTTCATAGACGTGTTCTTTTTAGATTTCTGGAAACACAGATAACATTCAGAATAGAAACATATTTTGTAAATGGAAAAGCTATCACCGTCTTCTATACTGTTCTCATACAAATTGTACATTTTGTGTAAGTTCAGCTTAGCGATTCTGTATCAATCCTACAGTAATGCGGCATATATCTAGAAAAAGCATAATATGATTAATGACTTTTGTTATTCTTTCATCGGGTAGTTTATTTAATCCACCAGTTTTTGATCCTCGTAAGTCTTATTAACCAAATAATCGAAGATAACGACGATTCTCCAATCTGCTGTTCAGCTGTTATGAAGTCCAATATGGGTTGATACAGGATGTTAAGTGTTTACTGCTACATAAACTTGCACATTGCAGATTAAGAATTTAATAGATTGTGGGTTAAAATTTCACTTGTATAGGTTATTTCACGAATATACGACTGTTTTGGATTATTGCGACAATGAATATTTTACTGTGCAAGTAGAAGTATAAAAGTAAATTGGTCTAATTATTATTCCAATATGATATGATAGTATGACATCTAAATTACAATTATTTCAGTTAATAGATGTTCAAATAGACGCAAAATTTAATGTGAAATTTAATCCGAAAATAACAAAAATTTTTGTGCAAACGCTCCTTCAAATCAATACAATGACGTCTAAAAGCCAAAGGTGTTCATTGGTGATTTGGGTTGGATTTCCCTGAAATGGAAACACCAAAGAGGCGTACCGGGTTTCTTTTATATTACACTGTTTTATTACTTTATTAGGTACCACAACTGTAATAAAAAGAAATATACTATTTTTAATATAATTGAAAGGAAATTGGCAGAACGATGGTTCAGAAACCAGAAAAAGAATCTAATATTTCACTTTGTTAGTTTTAAATATTTGTTTGCTTTGAGTGGAGTATAGACGATTAGGGGAATAAGAAAATAAGTAAGTTTTTTTTTTGTTTTTAATACTAATTGAATATTCGTCTACATAAATTACACTATTCAATCAGTTAGGTATTGTTACACTTCGTTTAAATCACTTAATTTAAAAACCAACTTGTTTACAATACTAAACTCACTGATAGTAATTATATACCTCAAAATCTGAATTACAACTGTTCTATAAACTATCAACTCTATATTTATATCATGACTTTATATTTAAATCTAAGCTTTATATCTGTCATAACAGTATTTTAAAAATGGGGAGAATTTACCATTGTACAATTCAGTACATTGGACCATTCAAATCGACACCAGTCGTATATTCGTGGAATGGAGTATATCACAATTTTTAAATACTGATGTAACTTAAATCATTTTTACATAGTTTAAATAAAAATATAATCTACCATGTGATTATGATCACTTAATTTTTAATGTTTTGTGGTTTAACTCCTTTTTCCATAACACCACCCATATAATACATTTAATTTGGTCATAAATTTTGTAGGTTCTTATTCCCCCAAAAAGTATGCATGAGAGCCTGCGAAATGAGGCTAATAGTCCGAAAAATGTATTAGAGCAAGTCAAATATCGTGCAGAATGGTTGAAGTATCAAGAGCAACAAAAAGCTAAGGAAGAGGAACTTTTAGAGCGAGAACGGGGTAAGTTTACAGTTAATTATATCATCGTCATTCTCATTGCCTTTATCCCTAGGCTTCCCTAATTACTTTTCTCCATAGGTTCCTATCTTGGGTCATACCAATATCAATCCCGTTTAGTTACATATACTGCCTAAAGGTCTCCGCTTAGGTCTTTGGTCTTCCTCTCCTACTCCTCCCAGGAATGCGCAGATTAGCAATTCTTCATATTGGATGATCAACGTCTCGACGTTGAACATGACCAAATCATCTTAAAATATGCTCTTTCATTTTGGCATCAATTGGTGTCACCCCTAGACTTCCCCTAATATACTCTTTCATAATTTTACCCTGATCCATCTAAGTTCGGAACATTCAGTTCTGTAATACCGCTCGTAGGTATTTAAAACTATTACTTTTCACAATCATTTCCCCATCCAGAGATATCAAATTATTAGTAGTAACTCAATCTTTAAATGAACATTCCAAATACTCTGTTTTTGTCCTACTAAGTTTTTCCCTCGAGCTTGTCTTCACTGTTCCGTTTTTGTTCCAAGTCGCTTTCACTATTTCCTACTAACACTACATTATCAGTAAACATTAAGTAGCAGGAAATGTTACCTTGTAGTTTCGCTGTTATATGATTCAACACTAATGAGAATAAATAAGGACAAAGCAACGAGCCTTCGTGCAATCATCCATTCACATGAAATTTATCAGTCTTTCCCACACCTGTGCTATCATTAATTATTTCTCCCTCATAAATGTATGTAATAATCTTTACATCTGTATGCTAGAGGTAAATGGCCCTATCTCCACTTTTTAAAATATTGTAGAAATGAAGTTTTTAATGTTGGAAGAGCATAATTTAGAAAAAGCAAAGAGTACTAATTGATTTAGTAGGTTTTTGCATCATCTAACGTATTTTCCTGTGTTATCTTTGATTTAATTTTATGACATATGTGTTAGCAATTACACGAGTTATGTAGTACAGTGAATGAAAGTAAAAATCAACTATTACCTCCGATTTCGGTGAACCTCCATCGATTTGCATGAAAATTTAGGATTGAGTATATTTTCCCCTTAACTTCAAAAGTGACATATGATCAACTTGCGCTTTTTGCATTTTTGGAGTGAATTCCTTCCTTTTGATAAAAATGGTAAAAAATGCAGATTTAACCAATCAGATTTGAGTACTCGCCTAAAAAGAAAATACATCTAATTACCTATAACTTACTTTGAATTAATTTTAAAAGGTTTTTCAAGCAAGGAATTTATTAAATTTTTTATTAGCTTCAATTTTGGTAATGACAACTTTTTTAAAAACCTATAGTTTTTGAGGTATTTATGAAAAACCGCTTTAAAACGATCAAAATCTTTGATCATAACTCAAAAAGTATTGATTTATTTTAAAAACATAAGGTAAATTTTGTTTAGATTTGGTCCCTCTATCGATTCCTGGGGTTATTTTGAATAAAATAATTTCCACCCCCGAGAAGGAGTGGCATCCACCCCAGGGTAAAAACGAAAGTTGACACCATGTCACTTTTGTTTCTTAAGGTATCCTCTAACTACTTACCAATTTTCATGAAAATTGATGGAGGTTCAACAAAATCGAAGTGAAAACCTTCAGTGAATCTACTAATGATTGTTTGACCCTAAATATTTGAACAGGTGAGAACAAAGTAACATCTTAACTAATAAAATAAATTTTATTTTAATCGGAATAATATTTTACAAATTTTTTTTTGAAAAATGTACAAAACAGTTTGTTATCATAGAAATAGCTAATGTGCATCAGATTGTTCATCCCCATACAGCAAGTCATGGAACTGAATTGGCACTCATTCCAGTAATTTTTGTAAATGCTCATACTTTTTATGGTTAACACTTTTTTGCGCATTACTTAAGTAAGGTAATTATAACAAGGTCTTTTCGAGGAAATCGACGCAAGTAAACTATTTTTGCATCAATATTACTGAATGTATTTTTATAATAGATAATTCCTAAATTGTCTCGGCGAGCTTCTAGCCAAACTGCAGATGAAATGTAGAATACATTTTTTCGGTGTCGATCTTTCTATTTAAGAATAGAGAATTAGATGAAGAAAATAAGATATTTTAATTCTAAAAATTAAAATCCTGTAATTCCATGTTAAAACGCACGAATTCTTGGCTCGAACTGCTGCCAGTTCCACGGTGTAATTATGGTCATTGTTTGTTTCTTTTTAATGCTTCTTTCAATTAATGTATGAATGTGATCTGCTTCCAATTGCGTGTGAGCTTTTAACAGAAACTTATGCACCACTCTTTTTAAATTAGGACATATTGTAAGCAGATAAAAATAATTCACCGACATCATTATGTTTCTATTTTGTCCAGGATTGCCAATTGCCCCACAAAATTATTAGCGTCTTAATGTCAGACAAGCAAACCTTCCTGAGTCCACTTGACCAAGGCCGAAGAGACTTCATGTCCATCCCTACCTGTAATACTTTCATCCCATACGGTAAGCCTTTTTATCTGTACTGTCGTAAATACTAAGGTTTAAGGTCCATAGCTTCAAAGAATAGAAACTTTTAGCATTGGTCAAAATAGGTGTTGGCAAACACCCCTTTAAATACTGTGTTTAGAAAAAAACTCCGAAACACATAGGAGTTAAGACTTATTCTAAACGCCATAACTAGGCTGCACGCAACAGTTACCATCTTTCGCCACAACATAGAATGGATTCTATAATTAAGGGAAATCATATTTACTCATTCTATAACAAAAGTGGAGATAGGGCCATTTGCCTCTAGCATATAGACATATTCATCGGAGACTCCTTTCTTACTGAGTGCCCATCTCAGAATCTTTCGAGCAACTCTACCGTATGCTTTCTCAAGATCAATGAATACTATTTATGCGTTTGTTTCTATATTACTGTATTTTTCCATCAACTGCCTTATAATGAAAATTACATCTGTCTTGCATAAAGCCAAACGGATTATCGGATATTTCGGTTTCTTCACGAATACGTTTATCAATTGTCTTTCCTATATTTTCATGATGTGACTAAGTAGTTTTATGACCTAGTAGTTTGAACATTGTTGTATATCTCCCTTAGAGTTCTTAATATATGTGTCCGACCTATTTTCTTGCCATTGTTTATACAGTTCCCTTTTCTTTATTTTTTCTTGGACTTCGTTTGACTACCACCAGGTCTCTTTATTCTCAAACTTCTTTCCTAATGTTTTCAACTACTTTAATAGCTCTAACGATACTGACCATCTTCCTCTAAATTGTATTAGAACTCTGTTTAATATTCTAACACTTTTTTTTTACTATTCTTGCTTTGAATAGATCTTTTTCATCTTTAACACCACCACTTAATTTTTTGTGGTTCTCTCCGATATTTTGGTTTAGTTTCGGTTTTTACTTCGATGTCTAGCACAAACAACTTATGTTGTTGACGTACTGTCTGACTAACTAGTACCTTCCAGTCATTACATTCATGTACATATTCGTTTCTTTTCATAAAATAATCTATTTTGGAGTAATTTTGTCCATTTTTTGAAAGAATCTGTTAACAATCGCCGTATCTAATGTTGATTATTCAAGCATATCATATCCAGCTTCATTTTTAGTTCCAAAGCCTAGTTCGCCATGTATTTCTTCATATCCTGTCTTCGATTGGCCACATGTACATTAGAATTACCTCCTGTTATGACTTTCTCCTATTATAGAATATCACTCAGTGTGTTTTCTATTTGATCATAGAAAGCTTTTCTTTCATTTTCACCCAGCCCTGTTTGAGGAGCTTACACACACACAACATGCAATACTTCTTCATCAAGTACAAATTTCACTGACATTCTCACCTCTTCATCGCTCGTTCTGACATCACTCATTCTTACAACTGCTCTATGTTCTCTTTCATTTCACTGTCAGCAATTATTGGCGTTACTTTTTCCTACACAGCACAATTTGTATCACATAGTTTTTTCGCCTTTGTCTTTTCCACCTAGTCTCTTGAATTTCAAGCAGTTTGTACTCTGCTTCTTTTAAGCGCTTCTACTAACTCTACTCCCTTATCTGTAAGACTTTTAAGACCCTATCCTTTTTTTTCTAACCTGTAATGGTGTTCCCCCTAAAATAGTCCTCATTTGGAAATCCGAAAGGAGTCTTTCGGAACCTTTTACCTTAGGAGAGGTCCTGATCATTTCAGCATAGTTTTTATTACATTGCAGAAGGTATTTTTCTTTTGTCAGTATCATGTCCTGTACGATTTAGCCAAAACATCCCCAATGCAATGTTGCCCCATAAGCCAATAATTGTTGCTCTTATCCCCCCACTAGGAGGCTTGTACTTTATTTGGGATACTGCAGTTAACTATATATATATATATATATATATATATATTATATATATATATATATATATATATATATATATATATATATATATGTCATATCCATATAGTATATGTTATAACCACATATTTAGAGACATTTGTTATTATTGTTTATTTGTTTTAGTTGCCTATGCACAAATTGACTGGCATGAGTTTGTAGTCGTCGAAACGGTTGACTACCAACCCTTCGAAATTGGAAATTTTCCGGCTCCAACTACCCCTGAAGAAGTCGGAGCCCGCATTTTAATTCAAGAGAGAATAGAAGAAGGTGAAGATATCGAAATGCAACTAGAGAGTGATGAGGAAGAACCACCAGTTACGGTAAGATAAGGGGTCATTTTTCATATTTTCCTTAACTTCTAGTCTGTTAGTATAACACGTTTTTCAGTCAGTACTTATAATACGTTTTAACAACTACAGTGCTATATAAGGCATCCTGCACTCCTTTAATTATTGGGTTTCTGGAACTCTTCAGGTAATTCTTTTCCACCTCCATTTTTAACATAGTTAATTTTTTAATTAGTTACACAGTATACTCGTACATAGTTTAAATCCTTTCGTTGTCTTTTTCTATCATCCCTTTTACTCCATCGGTTGAAAGTTCGAATTGAGATTAGTTAGTGTCTGATTGTTTTGGAAACCGCAAAATTTAAGATACGCAAAAATAGATCGACGTATTGAGGGCTTTTAGTTGACGCATACCTTGACCTTGATTAACGGCTATGGTTAATTTATTATGGTTAAATCAATGTAGTTTGTGTTTTCGTATTATTATTAAATTAAGTATTGAAAAAATGTATAATTAATCCACACATAGTATTTAAGTATAATTTAATGTGTGTATTTTGCTTTTAGGAATCTGGTTTAAGTAGTATGCAGGACAAAACCAATCGGAAGACACGCGACGACACCAGAATTCAAGACATGGAAGAAGAAAGTTCCGATGAAGAGAAAGGAGAAGACGACGAGGAATTAATTATACCTCCGCCACCACCGTCTATTCAACCACCGTTACCCCCTATTCCCGATAAAGTTGTCGTGAAAAAATATGATCCCAAACAAGGTATTATATAAAATAATATGTTCTTAGTATTTCTTCTTACTTCTTATACAGTGCGCAACTAAAGTCCGATCCGCTCCCCTGGCTGTTTTCTGAATCAAAACTATAATTCATAAATTTTTATATAACTCAACTAAGGCATATCTACATTATATTTTATGTTTTAGTGACGTAATCGTTCAATGGCGGAAGAGCGCCATTTTGTAAATTATTTTAAATAGGATCATATGGAAAGTAGTCTCTCTTGGTACTCAGCATGTTCCTAATTTTTGCGCGCTTATATTTACTGTTTCAAAATGGGGGCCTTTCAATTATTTTCAATGCTGACTGTAAAAGTACAAACTTTCACTAATAATGTGGCTTCAGCTTTTCGAAAAATTCGCTCGACTTTTCTAAGGAAATTTATGAAAAATATGACGCGACAGTTTTTATTGCATTTGTAAGCTTTTGTGTTACTATGTTTCTAGATGCATTAAAGAGGTAATTCTTCCAATAAGAGCAACTCGATGACAGAGTAACTCTAAATAAGTGAGATTTCACTCTTGCTGTTTGGGGGGAATTTAATGCAGATATATAGATATATGGCTGGCAAACTCTCCTTAGCTATGAATCTTTGGAGGAATAGTAATTTGTTAGTACTTATAAATTCTGCAAATTTTTTTTATACTGCCAATTCTCCAACTCAAAATTCAAATAGTAGCACTGTTCTCACTTTCATTTACACGATTTCTCACAAATTAAAATTTTCTTTCATCATTAAAAAGACTATCGGCACTATATTTCTTTTACTGGATTCGATGCTTTCTCGTTTAAAGTTAAAAAACAGCAGATCCTCATCCTTTCGGCTTCCAAACATTTCCTCCAATCTCTAATCTCTTCCATAATTTCTTTTTAACCTGTCAAAGTGTTCTATCTTTCCCATTCAAAACAAAAACCCATTTCTCAAAAATCTTTCAAATTCCATAATTTTATACAAAACAAACGAGTCAAAAGAATCTTTCTACCTTTAATGACCTGTTTTGTTGATAACAAAAATAATTAATCCTTGAGAAACAGGTAAACAGATTTCCCATGATGTCATTTCAATGAAACATATTCTGTTTCAGAACATGGTAACATGGCGACATGAATTACCTAATCCATCGGTAACTCTATAATCTTAAATCATTATTACACAATTTTAAAACTAAATGTAATTAAACATCTGTTATCGGGTTTTTACCCACATATTTAATCTTGGTGGCTACATTCATGTACTCCTAGACACTGATGATGGAACATGGTTTCCGAAAACGTTTTGTCTTTTTAACTTAGCCCGTTTGGGCCTAAAATATATACCTATTATAAAGGATTTTTAATTAAATTTTTAATACATGGTATACAGCCAACTACAGGAACGTAGATTCCTTGTGGACGATACTATGAGTATCTTAATATTAACACAAATCGAAGCGTTCTGTTTTTACTTATGATATACCGGTAGCCAAAAATACTATGGTTTGTTCGTTATACTCGTATATCGATTGAGCTATATCTATTACATTTCTAATTATTGATTTACACAACTTTATTTTATCGTTATTTTTTAGCTGTCAATGTTAGCCGACCAACAATCGGAGATGATTATCTCGTGTCACCCATCACTGGAGAGAAAATACCTGCTAACAAAGTGCAAGAACATATGCGTATTGGTCTGTTGGATCCGCGTTGGGTAGAGCAGCGTGACAAACAAATAACGGACAAAATGAACCAAGAAACGGTATATGCTGCTGGTAGTGCCATCGATGCTTCATTGAAACTGCTCGCTGAGAGACGTACTGATATTTTTGGTGTTGGTGATGAAGAAACAGCTATTGGTAAGAAGATTGGCGAAGAAGATGTTAGAAAAGATGAAAAGGTAACTTGGGATGGGCATACGAGCAGCGTTGAAGCCGCTACAAGAGCTGCTAGAGCTAATATCACCTTGGAGGAACAAATTCATCAAATACACAAGGTAAGATCCAGAGTAGTATTCTATTGTAAAATAATATTCATTTATGAAAAAAAAAATCTCCAAACATTAAATTAATAACCGTTTAACAAAAATATGCACTAATTAAATAAGAGATTAAAAATTTTAAGTGCATGCTATAATGCGACAAATATAAGTTAAACTGCGACCTTGGTCCACCAAGAAGCTGGCGTGGTTATTTACTTCTACTCTGTTGAGCGTTGTTATCAGATAAGTGTTGTATTTCTATTGAAAAATGTAACTATAGGATTTTTCACCTAAGAAGACCGCTTTGCAATTAAATGTTGGTAACTTTATTACTAGCGGACCAGATAAGCGGCTATATATTTTACACTACCTTTATGAATAAAATTTTACTGCTCTGTTGTTTCAATTAGCACTGCTCAACAAGTTATCGTTTATTGTTTTATGATTTTATTGCAATGTTAATTTTTTTTTAAATTTTTTCTGACATATCGTATAATGTAGGTTTACCCAATAATCAAAGTTATGCATTTACAAGAACATATTATGTATTTGAAAGATAAGGAGTAAATACCATGTGTCATAATAATTGTAATCTCAGGAAAAAAGACAGTTAAGATTTTATACACACTTAAAAAATTTGTTTAGTAATGTATTTCTTAAATCCACACAAACATCATCATATTTCTCTTCTGTTTATCGTTAAAAATTAATTGATGGTCTTGGGTTGTATTTTTGTCTTTTAATAATTTAACAAAATACATAATCAGCAAAAACCTTTTTTAAAACATGCGAACGGTTTTTGAAATCACAATCAATACAGTGTTTATGCTTGTTTAGCATTGGCTGTTAAATAATTTATGTTCGATTGTTTCATCTGTTGTACAACCCTCGTCCTTTTTAGGGTGTAGTAGTTGTATATAAGTACCTATTTTTTATAGTATTGTAGTGAAGCGGTAAATACAGTCGAAACGTAGAGTGTTATCTCCAGAAGAACGGCGTTTAGTTCTAAGTCGAAAATTATTTCAATTTAGAAAAAAATAATATGGGTCCATTGACATCTGTTATGGCACTTCAGAAACGCACATGCGAGATCTCAGAGAGAACATTCCGGAGAATTAATAACATGAGTGAGGATGAAATAAATAAAGTAAGCAAGAGAAATCGTCAACATCCAAAAACTTTAGATTTCCATCAGTCAATTAAACTTGCAATTAAAAAAATATTATATATAATATCAAATGGCGTCTACCAAAATAGACAATCGTCTGACAGCAGAATTGCCAATAAAAAGAGGAGTTCGTCAGGGCTGTGTACTTTCTCCACTGTTATTTAACATATTCCGAACCGATCTTTCAAAATGCCCTCGAAAATATTGAAGAAGGAATAAAAATCAACGGAGAATACGTAAACAACTTAAGATACGCAGACGACACCGTCATTATTGCGGACAGTGCTGAGGGTTTACAAAGACTTTTGAATGTCATAACCAGAGAGGGAGATAGCTTGGGACTAAATATAAACACAACTAAAACAAAAGTAATGATTGTTACACGTGCATCAAATGTCGACATTAATATTGGTATCTATAACAAACATATAAAACCAGTACAAAGATTCCAGTATCTTGGTTGCTGGATAACAAACTATCTTTACCACGAGGTCGAAATAAGTGCTCGTATAGAATATGCTAGGTCCGCATTTCAACGAATGAAAAAATTACTAATAAACTCTACGTTATCGTTGGATATCCGATACCAATTTGTAAAAACGTTTATTTATTCCTTTGAGATGTGGGTTTTTCGAAGGATGCTAAAGATCTCTTGGACAGAGCACGTTACCAACAACGAGGTGCTAATAAGAATGGGTACTGAGAGATAACTCCTAAATATTGTAAAAAACAGAAAAACGAGTTATCTAGGACATATTTACAGAGGAGAAAAATACAATTTCCTACGACTTATAATGGAAGGGAAAGTGGAAGGAAGAAGAGGTCCAGGAAGAAGAAAATGTTCCTGGTTGAAGAATGTAAGAGACTGGACAGGTGTGGACACACATTCGATACTAAGAACAGCTCAAGATAGAGAGCAATTTGCTGTAGTTATAGCCAACCTTCAGTAATGGAGAAGGTTCCTTAAGAAGATATATAATATGTATAAAGAAAAAGAACAAGTAACAGTTAGTGCTGTGTTGCAAAAAATAAAAGTTTGTGAAGAGCGTGAAACATTTAGGGTTTCGATATAAAAAGACAAATAATAGACAAGTATTGTGTGAACTCTCTAGTGTTGTTTCAAAACGGTGGCATTTTTTAAGAAAATACATGAACAGTAAAGTGTCTGATAGTCCGAGGCAAGTTGTATTTTCAGGTGAAACTTGGATTTTCGTTAAAGGAAATATGTCAAAAATCATCTTGTCAAGATGGCACCACGAAATGTTATTCTTCTAGTCGTTCCGGTAATGGTAAACGCTACATTATACTTCATGTTGGAAATGATGAGGGTTTTATTCCTGACGCTAGTTTAATTTTTTCGTCCACAAAGAATACAGGTGATTACTATGGAAATATGGATGTAAATATTTTTGAAGAATGGTTTGAAGAAAATTTGTTAAAAAAATTTTAGCGACCATCCATAATAGTCTTGGATAATGCTTCCTACCACTGAAGAGTAGAAGAGAGATTTCCTTTAAGTAGCTGGACAAAAGAAGAAATAAAGTTGTGGTTGAAAGAAAAGAAAATTTATTACAGTGACATATTTTTAAAAGTCCATTTTCTTCAAAGGTGTGGAGAGCACAAAATTCAAAAGAACTTTGTTACTGACCAAATGGCTCTTAAATATGGCCTTGAAGTTCTTCGACTTCCGCCCTACCATTGCCACTATAATGCAACTGAGTTAGTTTGGGGTATAGCCAAAAATTTTTATGATAAACATGCATAAAAAACAAAAGATGACGATAGCGTTCTTGGTTTATGGAAAAAATCGCTAGAACAAATAAAGGCAGAACAATGGCAAAATTGTATTAGACATACGGAAGACATAATCGTTCAGTCTTTTCAAACCGAGCGAGTTATAGATGAGGTCCGGCCTCTAATTATTCGGATAGACAATTCAGATAGTGACGACTGTGCTAGTGAAATATCAGACAGTGAATATGACAAATCGTTTGCTAAAAAGAAGAAACAAAAAAGTGTTTCGGGAATTCAATTCAAACTTTGTGGTGTGTTTAAGTTAAATGATAAAGTACCTTTGGTCTAATTACTGGACTGCATACTCTCAATAGCTTTGGTATTAATTACTGAACTACACGTGTTTAAACATTTTGTTTTGCTGAAAAGTCGGAAGTGATTTATTGACAATTTTTTTTTAAGTTATATTTAATACAGTGTCTACAGAAAGTAAAGTCTTGGATTTATTTTATTCAAATTTGAACATACCAGCAACTTGGCAAGTATTTTCCAATTTAACTGCATGCAAAACCATTCGTATAATTTTTACTCTACGCAAAATAGAGACTTATAGAGACCTTGATGAACATTTGATGTCGACAAATAATTTCAATTATTCGAAATATTCAGCCCCACTTCTTTGAACCGCCCTGTATATACATATTATATTCATTTTATTTGCCTTTAATACGGTAAAATCCAATATTATTACTGAACATAAAATACAGGAAATTAAATGTTTTTACTTTTCAAGCGATCGAAATTAAATATTCCACTGTTTAAGGCCCACTGATCATATCTTAATTACATATCGGCCTTCATAGGGTAAAAGGAGTTTATGTTCAATGCCTTTTTAAAATGTTTATGCCTAAATTATTTCACCGGACAATAAAAACGAATGGGAATTTCATTGATTTTTATTGGTTTCAATGGAACTCAGCAGACAGTGATAATCTTTCTTTTCTTCGCTAGAAACCGACTCCTCAGATTGCGAAAATTCATTGTCTTCGGCGTTTAAATGCATAATTATTTCGTTAATAAAGCTATCAAAAGTTACTTACGTTGGAAACAAAATCATACTGAATTGCTATTACTTTATCGTAAATGTTTTTTTTCCATTCTTCAGCAGGGTAAGTTTCAAACAATTTGTCGCTTAATAGCCCAAATGATGTTTGAGAGCTGCCCAGAGCAATTTATTGGAATTCGGATCAGGTTGGTATGGGAGTAATCGTAACACTTATTGTTAACTTTGTCTTATGAGCGAATGAATTTTAGGCTTATATATTAAGGCTTGTGCATTTTAACTAATTCATATAACTTAGTCCGGAGCATGTTGTACCGGAATGGTATATTTCGAACTGTTTTTTTTATTATTATATTGTATTTTATTATAATGGAAGTAGGAGTTTTATGTTGAATTTGACTTTCATAATCTTAAATAGCTTCCTTCAACAAAACGGTTTCATTTCCAGTGTGGACTATTATCAGTCGCTGTCCTTTTGAAATTCTAGTTCTTCCTTTATATAAGGATTGGCGGATTGTTGCATCTATGGAAGATTGCCATTCCATCTCTTGCGTGGTCGGTTGATACTTCCTCTACCACTTTAATTTATCCCTTGCTATTTTAACGACTCTTGTGTCCACCATTCTACTGATGCGATGGTTACATCCTTTTTTTCTGTTTAGTGTTCACTTGTTTATGAGTTGCGAATGGATACTAATATACGATCCAGATATAAATAAGACATCTATTTTAGACACTCAACACTGTCCACGCAAGCCATGATCATTTCTCAATTCCTTCAGGAGAGATAGCCTGCCCCATCCCAAGCTCTCCTTCAAATGACCATAAATTCTCACACATCCTATGCAATCCCCAGGAGTAAACCTAACATGAAAGAAAAATCGTTGGGGAAGGCAACGGAAAACCACTCTAATTAATTTTCCCGAGTATAACATGGAACTCAAGATCCAAGAAAATATTACTGAGCATATTCCTCCTCGTCGAAGACAAGATTCGACAGGGGCCATACAATATCACACTGTGCTCGCACCATCGAGCAAAAAGACAATA